AGCTGAAGGATCGGGGGGCAGATGACAATTTTTTTATAACTTGGGGAAATCTTAGAATAGCACACTTAAGCACCCCCAAGCTTTTGCAAATACATTCAAATACATCATGAAGTGGGGGAGGCACATATCAGTGAACATAAATAGCAGAAAAACTTTAAAAAGAAAATTCTCAGAGGAGTTAAGAAAAATAGACAAATTGGTTCATTGTACTGGTTTCTTTGCAACTAAGTTTTCTTTCTTTATTTTACTCATTTATATCCCACCTTTCTCTCAACAAGACTCGAAGGTTGCAACAACATATCCTCCTTAAGAGGATGAGGTAGCAGGTGATGGGGAAGAGCTTTCTGCCTGAGATCTAAATGCAGTGATTCCCAAACTTTGGCCTTTCAAGTGTTTTGGACTGCAGCTACCATAATCCCAGACCATCGGACAAGATGGCTGAGGCTTCCGGGACCTGAAGTCCAAAACATCTGGAGGACCAGAGTTTGGGAATCACTGGTCCAGAGCAGTGATTCCCACACTTTGATCCTCTGGATGTTTAGGACTTCAGCTCCCAGGATTCCTGAGCATTGGCCAAGCTGACTGGTGCTCCTGGGAGTTGAAGTCCAAAACCCCTGGAGAAACAAAATTTGGGAACCATTGGTCTAGAGAACCAGGGACTACAACCACTGGAGATGGAAGTCTAAGGCATCTAGAGGGCATCATGTTGCAGACACTTCGAATACACACTTATATGCGTTGCCTCTCTTCCTCATTTGTACAATTTTTTCCACCCAAGTCTTGCATTTACCAGGAGCTGAAGGCTAAGCTCTGCATGCTTCACTGAAGCGATGAATGACCGCAGTTCCTGAACAAAGCCATACACGGTACTCATCAGCCAAAGATCCTGTGTTTTGCTTAATGGCTATGGTTTTCTTCTTGTTAGTTCTTCGCACCGTGTGATGGGATGCAAAGCTCCAGCTCCTTCCTCCTCCCCGCCGCACACAACCACACTTTGCATCTGTCATATCATAATAATTGTGAAAACAATCAGCTCTGTTAATGCCAAGGAGAAGCAAATCGCCATGGGAGGGCCATTTTTGGACATGTAGCGATCATGGGGTTATGATGATTATGAGACGTGGAGGTAATGAGCGGCTCCCAAGGGTAACATGCAAAGCAAGGTGGCACAAGGTCTCCATGCCCAGTACCACTTTTTCAGCTTTCCTGCTTTCCTGACAAGGGCAATTTATGTATATTGATTACTCTCAACCGGCTCCATTCGTGATAGATTCGAGTTTGCATCTGTGTCTTTTATGAATGCCATTGCTGTTTCCAGCCTTTCCAGCTTTATTATGTATATTTATTTACTCAATTCATATCCCACCTTTTCTCCTGCCTGGGATCCAAGGTGGCTCACAACTGGCATGGGAGGGTCTAACACAAACTGGGTTCCCAGGACCATGCAAAAGTATCTGACATGCTTTTAGTGAACTGCAATGGCTCAAGTCCAACAGAGTCAGGGGGGTGTAGTGGTTTGGACAAGGATTCTAGGAGACCAGAGTTCAAATCAATCCCCAAACTGTCAGTCCCAATGGTGCACATCTACCTAAAATGGTGACCAGAAGTTGAATGACCCCAAAGATTAGTCAAGGGAAATTGGCCCCACACAGGCAAGTTACAGAGACAATAAGCCAGTAATTTGTGGCTTCTTGCTTAACTTAAGCTGCTACTACACTGCAGAATGAATGCAGTCTGACACCGCTTTAACTCAAAGATATAGCCATGTTAGTCTGTAGAATCAGTATGCAGAGAGATCTTGTAGCATCTTTGAGACTAACTGAAAGAAAGAAGTTGGCAGCATGAACTTTTGTAGACTTCATTCTAATGCATCTGAGGAAGTAGACTAAAGTCTACAAAAGCTCATGCTGCCAATTTCTTTCTTTCAGTTAGTCTCAAAGGTGCCACAAGATCTCTCTACATACTGCTTTAACTGTCATTGCTCCAGCATATGGAATCCTGGGATTTGTAGTTTGTTGCACCACCAGAGGTTTTTGACAGAGGAGGCTAAATATCTCCCAAAACTACACATCCCAGGATTCCACAGCACTGAGCCATGGCAGCTAAAGCGCCGCCAAACTGTTTTATTTCTGCAGTGCAGATGCAGCTGTGGTGCATTTAGAACACATGCATGCAGACTCTCACACAACATTTTGCATACCGCCAAAAGCATAAGCGCTCACCTGCTGGGATTAATTTTTTTCAAAGAGGCAGAAGCAGCAACTAACTTTGCCTTTTAGCCAAGCAAATCTATGGCTAGGGATTTTCAAAGAGAATTTTTTAGAGACTGACACGTCTCTGGCACCGTTGAAGAGATGGGGCTATTTGGAGATACAAGCTAGTTAGTGCCTAAAATAAATTATGAAAGCTTTCAATGCCTCATCAAGCCACTACCCACCCAGCTCCCTGTCTGATTGCTTACCTCCTTTACATGCAATAATTCAAAGTCTCCTGCAAACGAACAAAATAATTGGATACTTTCCAGAGCCTGGAGCAGCTACACTTTGAACTACAACTCCCAGCATCCCCTAGCCATGATGGGCAGTGGAGAGGCTGGCTTGGGAGTCTGCAACCTGTAGTGCAGAATTTTCCAACTTCTGCTCCCCTCCAGTTGCAAACAGAGTGGATTCAAAAACAACACAGTGTCACAATCTCTCTCCAGGTGAACTGGAGCTCCCAGCAGAGTATGGAAAAATAACATTTTTGAACCAGACCTCTTGGAACCTTCTGGGGAGCCTGGATTGGAAATATTTTTTCCCCAAACACTGGACAGAAATGGTACAATACCAACACCCATCTAGATACTTTAGATCTGGATTCTTCTTTGCTGGTAAAATCAAGGTGGAAAAGGGAAACCCTCCAGATCTTGATATCACAACCCTCCAGATCTTGATGGGAAAGCAATCCTCAGGGCATTTAGTAGGCAGGACAAGAGTTGGAAGTAGGAAGAGGGGTGACTTGTGAAGAATCAGGTCCTGCCTCAACATTTGGCATCTTTGGCACTTTTGGTATCAATCACCATGATGGGGAATCACATCACCTCTATCTGTCCTGATTTAATAGAGATGGTCCTGGTTAGTTAAGGTGGCTTTCTGTGTTTCCAAGGAAAGGTTCTTGGAATCCTTTTCTATGTTGTATACGAGACGATTATTTATTTTTTCACAGTTTTTCCTTTTTGCTCATGCTGTAGTGTAAGCCATTTATTTTGGAGAAGAAACAATACAGGATTCATGTCAGCCAAACAATAGATTATAGTCCTAATGATAGTTTCCTGGCTTGTTGTTCTTTTACTCCTACCATTTTCGTAAAAAGAGAAAGGTGTCTTTTGCAATCTGAGTCCTATTGTTTTCTTCTTCCTTAGGAGTGGAGAAGGTTTGTTTTTTCTCTCTCAAATGGTTCACTTTTTTGGTTCATGATTACATGCTGTCAATGAAGAGAAGTGAACCAAAAAAATGTAGTGATACTGGCATTAAATCCATTGCACTTTAAGGGGTTTAATGTTAACTTTATAATCCTGTTTTTAAAAGGTTGGTTAGTTAGTTATGGCACTTATGTCCCATTGTTCCATAGGTAGCTCATTGTTTCTTGTTAAATTTTAGTTCATGCTTTTTTGCCCCAGTCTGGGAGAAAATATAAATTGGATGGATGGATGGATGGATGGATGGATGGAGAGAGAGAGAGAGAGAGAGAGATGGATGGATGGATGGATAAATGGATGGAAAAAGAAAGATGGATGGATGGAAAGCTGGGTGGGTGGATAGCTGGATGGAGAGAGAGAGAGAGAGATGGATGGATGGATGGATAAATGAATAGAGAGATAGAGAGAGATGGATGGATGGATGGATGGATGGATGGATGGATGGATGGATGGAAAGTTGGGTGGATGGATATAGCTGGATGTAGAGAGAGAGAAATGGATGGATGGATGGATGGATGGATGGATGGATGGATGGATGGACAGATAGATAGATAGATATGCTTCTTCTCATCCCATCCTTCCATTTTATTTTCACAACAACCCTATGAAGTAGAACAGACAAGATAGCAAATGACTCAACATTGCCCAAAAGAATTCATGTCTAATGGGCATTTGAACCCAGGTCTCTCCAGTCTGGCATTGTAACTGCTTGCATTATGTTGGTCACTGACATTTTGTTTTCCCCATCACCAGATATTGGGTTTTGCTCCTTCAATGTGCTCAGCTATTCATACCTACAAACCTCCTTCCAACATGTCATGGAGCTCTGTCTATTTAATCACCGCTGACAAGGAAGGAATAGACCGGCTGTGACCTGGAGGTGAAAGGTCTTGTATCACATTACACCTCTCTTGAGCCATTGGTGCCCTCATGCCACAATGCTCTCCATCATCTTCAAAGGGTGACATGCTAAGAGCAGCCGAGAACTATGTTGACACGATTTATTATCTGATGCGCTGCCTCTTGTAGTGCTCTTTGCTTGGCTACTAGGTCAGCCAGGCTTGTGTGTGTGTCAGGGCCCAGAAGGTTTTAAAGGATTGTTATCTATGTAATTAACAGCCACTCAGTTCAGAGAAGGCAAGTCCCATCAGAAGGGTCTGTCAAAAGAGAGAGAAGTAACAAGCTCATCTACTTTGTGCACTGAGCACAACTCCCTTCAAATCTTCTATATTATTCTGCATGGAGAGTCTGCCTGGCCAGAGGATAGTCACCCTTTCTTTAGAAGCAGTGATGCATTTTACATAATCTCCTCTCTTAAGCTTGAAACATGCATTATTTCTCTTGCTTCTGTTGCATTTGATGTTTTGCATGATCATTACAAACACCGCTGTTGTTATTTGCTACCAAGTCATCTTTGACTTATGGAAGTCCTCTGAATGAAAGCCCTCCAGCCACCTACAGCCTTGCTCAAGTCTTGCAACTTCAGGGTAACTGTGGCTTGCTTGCCTGCACCAATCCAGGTGTAACATGTGTGCATCAGAGAGCCAGCATGGTGTAGTGGTTTGGGTGTCAGACTAGGACTCTTGAGACCAGGTTCAAATGCTGGCCCAGCCATGTAAACTCATTGGGTGATCTTGAGTAAGTCACACTCTCTCGTTCTCAGAGGGTGGCAATGGCAAACCCTCTCTGAAGAAGCTTACCAAGAAATCCCCACAACAGAGTCTTGGTCACCATAAGTCAGAAACGACTTGATGGCACACAACAACAACAACAACCAGTATGCCTTCAAGTCACCTGTCAACATACGGTGACCCCATGAATTTCATAAGGTTCTGTTGGGCAAGAGATACTTAGAGGTGGTTTTATCAGTTGCGTCCTCTGAAATACAGCTTACAGGACTCACATTCCTTGGTGATCTGTCATCCCAGTCCCACATACAAACCACACTAGCATTCTAAGACCAATACACATTGTAGATTTTGCTGTGTGTCTTCAAAGTTGTTTCCAATTTATGGTGGCCCTAAGGAACCTATGACAGGGTTTCCTTGGCACATTTTTTCAGAAGGGATTTGCCACCTCCATATATATATACCAGCAACATGCAAGGAATCAATAGATCCTTTATTCCAGTTTCTCCCTTTGTGTTAGGCTGCATCCTTCAGTTTTCCCTCCCAAACTAAGGATTTCCATTTTAGCACCTCCATCTAATCACAGTGGCACAGTAGGAGGATCCGCCATTTTGTTTTCTCACCCACAATCTGGGATAAAATGGTGGCATAGATGAAATACTGCCAGATCAAACGCACATCATCTGCCTGTTGTCACCTCCTACAGCTCTCCTTTGCCTGAGACGTCAATCTGAATTGTTAATCGTGTTAATATTTGATTTGTTGGAAGTAGAAAGAAACAACTCTCTCTCACACACACATATATAAACACACAAACGCATACAACAAAATACGCTATAGCCAAACCATAATGTCTACATTGCAGTCACCCTTGGGAAAAATGAAAGAATTTATTTACCATTTTCCCTTTTCAAAACAGTTTATTAGAAGTATGGATTCAAAAGGGTGAGATGTAATAGCTGTATCTGATGACTGATGGATGTCCAAATTTTTTTTAATTACTTCTCCAATATTATTCCCATTTACAGCTTCAGGAGATATCACATTGTAGCCTCAGTCAAAATACTGGTCACAATGTGAGTAGACCTTCTGAATCAATAGAATTTATTAATGTGTTGACTTACCATGGAGCAGTAAGTGCAACAAATTTAGCTGGGACTAGCACTTGGAATGAGACAATTCTTTTTGTCCATTCCTAGAGTAATTGTTCCTCAACAGCTCCTTCCTGAGGGTCTGTAGAAGTGAAACATTTTGAGATGAAGTGGCTATTTCCCAATAGATAAGGATGTAACATCCTAAAACTTGGGTTGTTCCTCCCCAATCCAAGCTTCAGGATGATACATCCTTATCTACTGGACATGAACATCTCACAGGTAAGATCTAACATTCCTAGTCTACTTCTGAGCAGACATGTATTGATTTGTGCTGAGATTTTAGACCAATGTGTTCCACTACTGTTCCTACATGTTGCTCATGTATGCAACACTCTTGTTTCTAGTGCACACAGGTACAAATCTATGCCTTTATTGTTGATGTAGTGTGCCTTCCAGTCATTTCCAACTTATGGCGACCCTAAGGTGACCCAATTATAGAGTTTTCTTGGCAAGATTTGTTCAGAGGAGGTTTGTCATTGCCTTCCCCTGAAGGGAAGGCTGAGAGGATGTGACTTGCCCAAGGTCACCCAGTAGGTTTCATGGCTGAGTGGGGAATTGAACACTGGATTCATGGCCCCACTGACACAGTGGTCCAACACTGAAACCACTATGCCACACTAACCATTTAAGTAAGACTCATTTGGAATGAGAGTGCTGTACAAGGAATGTGCTCCATTAGAAAAACAAGTACATCCTTGTTCTTCTGAGCATGGGGCAAGATAAGCTATGGTAGATAAAGGATAGAATCCAAACCCCTGGGCAGATAAACCCAGAGTCACAGGAGAGATTAGAGTCCTGCTGATGGCCAAAATGCAATGGGTTCCATGTTCATGTATAAGTTTCCTTCTGTTTGTTTTTGCAATTTTGCAGCCATTGCACCACTGGCGACTGGTGGCTTCTGTATCAGTGGGGCCATGAATCCATTTACATCAATGGAGTAGTGCATCCACTCTAGATTTTAGTCCACACTTCAAAGGAACTATCTACAATGCTAAAACCTATTGGATGGCTAGGGTTTAGAACCATGGACAGCTCCTTGAATTTTCAGACTAAAAGCTCAACCACTTCATTGCCCCATAGACATGGATGTCACCTTTCTATCCCCTTATGGTTCATTCTCTTGTATTATCTTGGTTTGAATCCAAGTCCTCCTGCTTAAGTATTTTATGGATCAAGCTGAGCAGATCATGCTCTCCAGACAGATTTCTTGCACAGTCAAAAATACAATTGTGTCAGAAGGATGGAGGGGGAGGGAGGTGGGGGAATGGAGTGATTTTGATATATGCACAAACGCATGTTTAGATGGCTCTGACTTTGTATTTTTCTTTTGTGCTGGTGAATATTTCATATACTGATTTTTATTTTATGGCACGATCATAGTTCCTGGAATGTAATTGCAAGGAAGAGAGTGGTTATGCTTGCTACTGTACAGAAACCTTGCAACAAAGATCTGTTCCACATTATCAAATGCCACCAGGAATTTAAGAAGAAGGTGGGATTTTGGTTTTGTTTTTTAGAGGATTGAGGGCAATCTTATTGTGACCTGAAGAACATTTCGTAAAATATAGAGCTGCTGAATCTCACTGTGTTGTTTTTGCCTCTGAATGTCCTTCAGTTGTATGCCTAGAGTTTTTCGTCAGTCAGAGTAAATGGCTCTTTAACAAAATCATCTGTAATTAGGCCATGTTGAGTATAATTAAGACACACATTTCCAAAACTGCAAATCCTGTAGGGTTTAGCCTTGGTTAAATGTGTAATTTAGTTACTATAACTGTCTGGTTTGCAAATCAGAATGTTACTTAAAAGAGAACACATTTCTCAAGATATTGTAGATTTCATTCTTACTTAACTAGTTTTTACTACCTTATTCTTGGAAGCTGAATTTGTTGGACGTTCTGGGTAATCACCCAGATTTCCATAACTACCCTTTCATGTGTATGCATAGACTAATCATCTGTCATTCAAATCCATTGAGCTATTTGAGCTTTTGATTTATATACTACTTTTTCTGTCTATATGGGATCCAACATATTTCACAGCATGATTTTTAAAAGATACAGCTAAAAGCATAATAGATTATGCAGGTTATCTGAAATGTTTGGGACTAGAAATGTTTGGGATTTCACAGCTGTTGCTGCTTTATTTTGGAATATTTGAATATACATAATGAGATGGGACCCAGCTCTAAATGCAAAATTGATTTATGTTTCGTATGCACCTTATAAACCTAGCCTGAAGGTAATTTTATGTGCAATATTTTAATATTATTTTGTGCAGGAAACAAAGCAAAGGGGTCACTCTTGCAGCCACCCATGAAAAAAGTTTTGGAATTGCAGTTTGACACTTCTTTAACTCCCATGGCTCAGTACTATGGGATCCTGGGGTTTGTAGTTTTGTGAGATATTTAGCCTTCTCTCTCAGAGAGCTCTGGTGCCACAACAAACTACAAATCCCAGGATATCATAGGATAGAGCCATGGCAGTTAAAGCAGTGGTAAACTGCATTCTTTCTGCAGTGAGGATGCAGCACAGGTCTGCCTAAGGGTAGGACCAGGCTTGCTTTCTTCCCAGTTTGGATTAAATCATCATTTCTTCAGCAGGTTCAACAGAGACAAACTTCCACTGACAATGCAAGGCCACGTTTGCTGCAACTAAAAGCTCACAGTGAAATGTGGGAAGCCTGGTGTGTACTTTTAGTCAAGAGATCAGGAACAAGAGAGAATGTGAGAAGGGGAAAATAACCAGTAGCTCTTCTGATGCTCTGATGTCTGTTTTTAATGAGGTAAAAATCTTATGCTTATTATTTATAAAGTCTCCAGATGCAGAAATGATCATTATTCAGAAGAATAACATATACATGTGTAATATATATACACACACACAGTACTTCTTTTGCTCAGACGTGTGCTAATGAAACACTTAGTTTTCTTTTTAGAAATGAAATTTGCAAAGGACAATGCTGATTGCCTTAATTGATTAAGCAGATTCATTCCAATGCAACAGCTCTTGTTTGCCTAGTTCATTTTATCAAGGCAATCCACAAGGGAAACAAAAGGGGGCTTCGTTAGTCAAACGAATCACAAATATGTATTTTAAAAACCGCTGGAGATTAACTTCAGTGCTACCATGCGCATAAACGAGGAGCATGTTTCAAATTAATAAGGCTCTGAAAATTATTTAGTTTCTATATCCGAGGAGCAGGGGCAGGTGGTGACTCTCATGTCAGTGGGAAGGTAAGTCCATGTGGGTTTTATGCTGGAGCCAACTGATGTGAGAGCTGGACAATGAAGAAAGCAGACAGAAAGAAAACCAACTCATTCGAAATGTGGTGCTGGAGAAGAGTACCTAGGATCCTATGGACAGCCAAGAAGACAAATATATGGGTTCTTGAAGAGATCAGACCAGAGCTCTCCTTGGAAGTTAAGATGATCAAGTTGAGACTATCGTACTTTGGCCACATAATGAGAAGACACAGATCACTAGAAAAAACAATAATAGGAAAGGTGGTGGGTAGAAGAAAGAGAGGAAGACCACAAACCAGATGGATAGACTGGATCAAGGGTATAAATAAAAATTATTATTATTATTATTAGGTTTATGGGCAAGGAAATGGAGGATAGAGATTCTTGGAGATGTCTCATCCACAGGGTCACCATGAGTCGGAGTCGACTTGAGGACAGCTAACAACAACAACAAAGAAGCCAAGCCTTCTTTGTAGACTCCATTCCATCTTTCCTTCCTCTCCTTGTCCCTGCTTCCTTCCAGGCAGCATTGTGCAATTCAGATCCTATCATTACTCTCAGCTACAGTAGATTCATTGAATCAATGAGTGC